CTATCTATCTATCTATCTATCTATCTATCTATCTATCTATCTATCTATCTATCTATCTATCTATCACATTTATACAGCTGCCCATCTCACACAAGGTGACTCTGGACAGTATACAACAATAGACTATTTTATGTAAGAAGGAAAAACGTTGATTAAGATCAATACAGAAGTCAATAACTACTGAAATATTATACTCGCTAAATAATATCTGCTAAAAATCAGTATAAATGACAATAAATTATATCTACCAGAAAATTATATGTTACCTTAGCATGAGCAGGTCCTTGTTCATTAAGAAGCTTATACAGAGGCTGAATTCTATTGAAACGGGCTAATTCATTTACCAGACACATTGGAGTTTTCTCTTTAAGGTTTGCCATGTAATCCTGTAAAGGAACTATAAATAAAAAGGTAATAGGGTTTTTTTAATATATCGTTTCATAGAAAGGTATCATTTATATAAAAAAAATCTGGCTAGAAATTATTTTCTGACAATAAAGCAATAAATACTAATAAATAATTAGAGGGCCAGTTTGGTCTAGTGGTTAAGACTCCAGGCTAGAAACCAGGAGACTGAGTTCTAATCCCACCTTAGACATGAAAGCCAGATGGGTGACTTTGGGCCAGTAGCTCTCTCAGCCCAACCCACCTAGCAGAGTTGTTGTTGTGGGGAAAATAGGAGGAGGAAGGAGTATTAGGAGTATGTTCGCCACCTTGAGTTATTTTTTAAAAATAAAAAAGGCAGGATAAAAAAATTCAAAAAAAATACTGTCTAGAAATTATTACCTCACCACCAAATTGAAAAAAGAACTTTTTGTAAATGATATCCACTTCAGGTATTTATTTTTACTTCATTTCAAATTACAGTCCATAGATTTTAGATAAATTATTTTATCAGTATACAATTATCCAGCTCTATTTTTTATTACATACAATGCATCTGTTTATTAAAAAGTTATATTCTTGTCTTTTAAGCTAATTATATATTTTTTGAATCACCAAGTTTATTGTTTTCCTAGTTCTAGAATTTTCTCTTTTCTACTCCTCCTCCTCCCTAAAACTAAAATGCTTGACTTGCATAACAATTTATTCCTTCTTTGGTTTTCCTCAAAATCATCATGATTAGGAACATAAAATTTCAAGTAGACTTAGTTCTGGTGCCATTGTTTCAATTAGCAAGGACAAAAATGAACGTTATTTGCAGTTACCAAAAGGGGGAACAATAACTACCCAAAATGGTCTAAGACTCTTTGTTCCAGGTCAGAACCTGGAGATTTAAACTTTTCTGTACAAGAGAAAGGTGAGTTTCTTTCAGGGCTTCTGCTTAAAAACTCTTCAGAAACTATGTAAGCTGCTAAACTTGAGCTGTTAAATTGTGCTAAAATGTTTCAGATGTTTTTAATTAAAGAACTTTCCCCTTTTGTGACCTTCTGAAGTACTTGTTCCAAAAAGTGATAACATAATACATACATAATTTAAAATGAATCTCCTGCTTACCCTGAGACTTTCTAGGAGATATAGAACCCATAAAACCAGTTGTACAATTATTGCATCCAACAGCTGATTCTGGAGCTGATCCATTTACTGAGGAGTGAGAAACCACTGAACTTGTTACTAAAGGGGTTAGTGCTGCTGAGGATAAATTAAGGCCACAGTGATTTGATGTGGTCTCCATTTTGATTTGTGCCCTTGATTTTACTGAAAAGAAAAAAAAAACAAGCAAGCATATAGCGTTAGATTAGGGAAGCACTACATTTGATTAACCTGACTGTACGTACTGTTAAAAAAAAAGTTTTCCATTCTGTATCTTTCAGTACTGGCAAGCTTTAGGCATGCTGATAACTTTACATCAGGGTGAGAGCTAGTCTTGAAGATGTCTTTTTGTTGGAGACCAATTTGTGGTTACTCATAGGTTTGTTTTGATTGATGACAACATTGTTAATATATAATTTATAACTTCCTGTGAGTAGATCACTGCTACTTCATTTTGATAAACAGAAAATGTTGTCTGTCTCTTTTTAATCTATTTTACTGAAGGTTTTGCAATCAAACATAATTAAACACAGATATGAACCTATGTTAAAGCCTACCCTGTGGTGAAAAGGAAGATGAAATGCCAGTACTTTTCTGCCCTTACTACATTAGCAGATATCATCCACCTTGTTCAAGGTGACCTGTTCCCTGTGGGGGAAGGATGATCCAGATCTCTTTGGGCTCCTAAAATAGATTTGCTAAATATTTCACTGACAAAATTGCATGTATTCATTCAGATTCTGACTCTACACTGGCAGAGCCAACAGAAGTAACTGGGACAAGGTCTTGCATGGTAATCTGGGATTCGTTTCAGCTTATAGATGCTGAATAGACGCTTATAGATATGGACAAGGTTATCTGCAGCAGATTGGACCCTTGCCTCACCTAGCTCCTTCAGGAAGCAAGAGGTGGCAAGCAGTTGTGTTTTTGAAGGAGGAAATGGTGACTGCTGCCTTGAAGAAGGTAGAGGTAGTCTCTTATTTGAAGAGGCCATCTCACAATCAAATACTGTTAGATTATTTTTGCCTTCTCTCCCACTTTCATTTCTTAGATAAGGTTTTTGAGAAGGTGGACATTTTGCTGCTGAGGAGCAGCATAGAAGAAAGATTGTCTGGATCCCTGGCTGTCGGGATTCAGGTCTCAATATGGAATTAAAAATGCATTGGTCACTCTTGTGGATGACTACTTTTATGACATCAATGGAGGGAGTGTGGTTCTCCTGGTCCTTTTAGATTTCTCAATGGCATCTGATACCAACAAACATGGAATACTTATAGAAAGATGGTTGGCAACTGGGGGCACAGGCAACCTTCCTGAATAGATATACCAGTTGATTGTAGGAGAAGGGGAATGGTTGAATCCCCATCTGCTCCAATGTAAGATACTATAAGGCTCAGTACAATCCCCATTGTTATTTAACATCTATATGGTACCACTATATTAGCTCATTATTGGATCAGGATGAAGCATCAATTTGTATATAATACCCAGTTGAACATTACTACTTGGGCCAGAAGGGAAATGCAGTGGATGTTCTGGCCAAGTTCTGAAGGCAGTCAGGATCTGTATAGATGTGCTTTACGTAGGATTGCCCCTGAAGTTCGTACAAAAAATTTAGCTGGCGCAAAATGCAGCTGTCTACATGCCAGCAGGTAAGAGTTGCTTTAGCAGTACGACAGCTATATTACAGGCATTGCATTGACTGTCTGTTTCATCACCTCAGGAGGGGATGCTCTGGGTTCCACTTCTGTGACAGATTAAGGAGGGGGAAATCCAAAATTTTGTATCTGCAACCTCCAAAATTCATAGAGTACTAACACACCAATTATTTCATAAGGCCACAAAACCTGGCTCTTTGAGAGGCAGACCTGCAATGTGGGTTGATCTGTCCTGAAATGGTTCTGTGTTGTTCTATGAGCAATTATTTTTTAATGTTGCTTTACAATTATGTTTTCTGATTATGTATTATTTTATGTAAGCTGCCCAGAGTCTTGGGAATGGGGAAGCCAAAATATTTTAGTACATAAATAAAAAATAAAATAAACTAATTTGTACAACTTTAATTGCCTCCAATTTGCCAAGACAATTGAAATCAAAAGTAATTTAAAAAATGAGCTGAAGTATAGTGAAGCATCAGCATGCTTATGGTAGTTTTGTATGAACCTTTGTATATGTATGAAGAGCTAATGTTAAAAGGTTCATCAATAGAATCATCAATACTCACTTTAACTAATTAACAATTTGGTATCAATTTTAACTGACAGAGAAATGACAGGTCTCAAGTCATTGGTGCTGTGATTGCAGAATATTTAAACTATTCTTATAAATACTTCAGGAAAACTTAGCACAGTGAAACATAATTTTACCCAAAGCCAAAGCAAATCATCAGAATTCTAAAACATTTAGTTGAAAGTATGTACAGTTAGTCACAGTGACGCTAGCTTCAGTGTCATTTTTCCCAGTCTGTTGCCATCTTTGGCCTAATCTGGTTATACATTTGTCAGAGGACTTAATATTAACCCCTATTACTGTTACATAGCATCACTATGGAAAAACAATTTCAATAGTTTCTAAGAGACTAGAAGATACAGGACTGACCTCTTACACATTTGTTCACAATAGCAGGAAATTAGAAAACTCACAATATACCCACTATTTTCAGTATGGTTTTTGAAAAACAATTGTGACCCAGGATATTGCAAATATGGTTTATGACCATAATGGCTGAGTTCACAGACTGTACTAAGTCAAAACCTAACAAGTAATAGTATGACTTAGTGTGATATATGATCCTGGATCTTTTTCTAGTTGTTAGAACATGGATTGGTACGGTCTTAGTGGCCAAGGGCTCGTTTTTGGAGCCTGAAGGCTACAAAGCCTCACATATGGCAAAGCTGGGATTTGGGGTATAATATGTGGGGTTTTCTTTGCTTTTTAGTAGGGATATAGTTATTTTAGGGCCTATACTAATTTTCATATATGTTTCATCTCTAAAGAGGTGAATACATTTCCCATTCATAATATGAAATTTGTTGTAGCCAAGAAAACTTTTCTTAACTATTGGGTGCACTCTTGCAAAACTGCAATTTACCCTCCGGTAACTTCTCTTTTGCATTGCCAGCACTACCAAATTGCTTTACTCTCAATAAAGCAGACAGTACATAACTGTCTTATTGCTGAATTTATTATGCTGAATATGTAAAGACCTAATGAAATGATCCTAAAAGTCAACGTATTTGCTCCTTTTAACTGTTGTGAGCATTTAAGGGAGGCATGCAGATTCATAAAGATTGTATGTTGAATGGTCCATACACTTAATAACTGCAAGTCAGATATTAAAATCTGTGTCACAACCTATTTTTATAAACATGTTAAATATCATACAACTGGAAATTGGAAAACTTGCTCAAAATTTTAGGTAATTCTTTCATGGGTTTATAGTCTCTATCTTCTAAAACTTAAGAACTGTTTCAAAACAAGAAATTAATCCTTTTTTTTTTTTTTTGCTACCAAATTTGCTACTGCAAAGTATTAGAAAGCTAAAATACATATTTCTTTGGAACAATTATGTTTAAAGGGGTCAGAAGTAGCATTCTTTAGAGTATCCCTCAATTAAGGACTATTTTATTCAAAGTTTAATTGTCTTACTGCATTAACAAATTAATTTCCAATAAGTTACACTCATTTGTACCAATATCTTTCTGGACAGATATATTGAAAATGGATAGATTAAAATTTTCCATCTCTCTTTAAGAATCAAATGAATTTATACATACTTCCAAATCATATTCAACCCCTTAGACAGACAGACAGACAGACAGACAGACAGACAGACAGACAGACAGACTCATTCAGAAGTCGTGCATACATTTTTCTTGGCCAAGAACTGCTCTGGCCATTAACAGTGTGCATGAGGCCACATTCAAAAAAATTAGTGGGCAGGGCCAATATAAAAACTAAATCTGATTTTGCTTATGTTTAAGTAAAATTAAATATAGTTACTATGATTATTCTTCAGTCATATACTTAATTATTTCACAATAACGTGATAGCAATTTTGAAGATTTCTAGAGACTGATACAACAGCTTCCAGAGACTACACGTGGTCCAAAAGCCTCAGGTTGTATGCTTCTGTATTAAAGTAATCTACAGCAATACTAAATTCCATTTCTTTCTAGTGCAGAACATATAACATTTTAAAGATTAAGAATACTTTTTTACCTCCACAATTTACTTATAAAATCACATTTTTATTTCTTTTCTGAATGTGTGTGTGTGTGTGTGTATAATTATATGGGTACTATTTGTGCATAAAATTCAGAATACTGTAAGCATCTGAAATAAGGAAACTCGCAACAATGAGCTGAAGTAAAGTCAGGCATGTTTGTTTAATTTATAACCACAGAAATTGAAGATACGTTATTTCACATTTAGAACATAGGTTCTGTTTCTAAAAAAAATGGGAGTCCTTATTTGAAAGTTTTCATCACATAGATTTATTGAACTAATTAATTCAACATACATGCTGCCTGATTCCAAATGGACCCTGGGTAGTTTACAATATGGAGTACAGCATCCCAATTATGCAAATATACCAGTGTTTTGGACTTCCGGGGAAGAAACAGTGAATTGAAGACCACAGAAGAATGAAGAACCAGCGAGTAGATGGGGGAGAGGACTTGGGTTCACCCACAAGCGCTCCATACAGTTGCTCTTTACAAGGACACTGCAAGGCAGTGGGTTTAGAGCTCTGGGAGATGAGGGAATAACCATCTTGCTGAAACCACAGTTGGTGCCTTCAAAAAGGTCACTGGATTCACATACTTCCTATCATTTTTGGATATTGCTTATTAACTGCTTTTCAGCTATTAGGAACCTTGGATTGACAAGTTATACAGCACAGGGTGAATTTCCTTCAATCCTTAGCAAAAGAAGTTTTAAATACAAGTTTGAGGATTTAAAAAAATTCTTTTGGAATAAACAGTGAAAGGAAGATTAGAACTTTGCTTTTGGAAAGTTACAAATGGACTAGGGACAAGATGGATTTGAAATAAGATTTTGGAATTAATCATAAGAATCCTTCTCATGGGAAAAGGCTTTTGTTTTGAATTCTGTTAAAAAAAAATGATACAATGAGACTTTGAAGGTTGGACACTAGAGGGAACCATAAGGATCTAAGATTACAATTAAAGAAGAACACTTAAACTTGGCTTACTAATACAAAATGAATGAAGCAAAATATTTTAACATTGGACATATTGAAGGATATTTTCGAACAATGGACTCAGAAGTTAATTTTAAGATTGTCTGCTTCTCTAGATAAGGCTGTGTTTAAAAGATGTTATGGAAGAGGAACAAGTTATATCTGACAAGATTGAGACTGATCTGAAAGTGGATTTAAAAATGACAGGCTACAAGAATGATATGGAAAAAGATGCTACACTGGATATACACATGAAACCAGCTGATGTCTTAATAATTAAAAAATATACAAATAACAAACCAAAAAAGTGAACTGGATAATTTTCCTATATTGGATTTACAAAAGGGGCTTGTTAAAGCTTTGAAGAATTTTGTGAGAAGGGACAAAGAAAAAATGAAAAGGAAATCAAGTTCTAGGACATTATTTGAAGGGACTAAAGATCAAGATAGTTAAAAGTAAAAGGGAGGAATATAAAGTTGGTTTATTTGATCAAGTTAAAATAGATATGTTTTGGGGTTGTTGTTTTTTTAGGTTTTTATCCCGCCTTTTCTTTTCGTATACAACTTAAGGTGGCAAACATACCAATATTCCTTCCTCCTCCTATTTTTCCCACAACAACTCTGTGAGGTGAGTTGGGCTGAGAGAGAGTGATTGGCTCAAAGTCATTCAGCTAGTTTTTCATGCCTAAGGCAGGACTAGAACTCATAGTCTTCTGGTTTCTAGGCCAACACCTTAACCACTACACCAACCTGCTCTCTATGTTATATGTTGTTATGTCTATGAGATATGTTGTTATCTCTGTTAACCATTAATGAAATTTTGCTGATCAAGACCGAAATGAGGCTTTAAGGATTTGTTTATAGATAAGAGATGGGATATGGGGAGAAGAGATCATTTGTCTTATTTTATGAGAAGGTGACAAGTTACTAAAATTCTTTATATTTGTGATGAAGGGGGAAATCATTTCTTTATATATTTTTCTTTTTCTTTGCTATATTCTTATTTTTTCTTTCTTTTCTACTTTTCTTTTCTTTTTTTCTTCTCTGCACTTTCTCTTTTCTCTTTTTCTTTTTCTTAGTTTGCATTACTTTTTATCTTTTTAATTGTAATTTTTAATTACACACACACACACACACACACGCCTCTCCTTTGGAAGCTGCCAATGCAATAGCCCAATCCTAAACACATTTACTTTAAATAAATGGCATTGAATTTCATGGGGCTTTATAATCAAAGTTGCATCCCATGTCTTAACTGTCTCAAATTAGATATTTGGTCAGCTGTATCGACTGACACACACTGGGAAGACAAATGTAATAGCACAACAGACTAGGCCTGTAGGAAGAAACAAATAAATTCTTACTCTTAGCTCAGATAGATTTGCTTACAAATCTTCAGATTGGAAATGCTTTTCATTAGTGTGATTTAAGTAGCCTTATTATCTTTTGCAATGAGCAACATTATGCCTACCTAATAATACTTACATATGACTCCTAATTAAGTTAATCAATGGAGTGCAGTGAATTCCTACAGCGTTTTTAGGCATTATATAGTCATAGGCAAAAAATATCCAGTTACCTATTAATATATGAATCGCACTCCCAAATAAAGATAAAACCTTCTACATATTTGTCATGTTGACCTTCCTTAACATGTGAGTGCAAGCAAATACTGAAGTCTATTTATAACAATTTCACTTGTTCCATATTATTAGCATTAGCTGCCTAGATAAACATGTTAACACTCTATATAGAGAAAATGTAGTGTCATAACCAAAAGGGTAAGCTGGTAAATCCTTGCTGCAATTTTGCCTGAACTATGAACTAAGAGATGAGTCAGTCCACTGTTTGTAAATTTATGCCCCTTCTGCCTCACAATACATCTTACAAAATCGGAATGAACATTACTGACTTCTAAATATACAATTATTTGAAGGATTTCTGATCAATGGGATGTAATATGCTTGAATATGCTGAAACTGCACTTTTGTTCATACTTACCTAGAAACAATCTTAATTCAGTAGAACTTACATCTAAATAAACTTGCATAGGATTGCATGGCCAAAGTAGTGTGATTCAGCAATTAGGCTAATTGCTGGGTTCAGCAGTCCATTCAGCCATGAAACTAGTGGCTGACACTGAGGATCTATCACTTCTCAGTGTCTTAACTAAACCACAGTGAAGGACCAGAGCTCCTTAAACAGAGGGCCTGCCCAGACCTCCTTAAAGGAAAGCCAAAATATAAATTTAATATATGTTAATTATTAAATAATTCAAGAAAACATATTTTAGCTGTTGCAGTTATTTACAGCACATGCAATTTTCAGTTAGTCTAGAATTTAGGTTATTCAAGTAACTAGCTTCCAAACTAATTGCATAGAGAGATTGAAAAAGAGAATGGAACATACTGTAACTTTGCCTTCATCACCTGTATGTTCTTTATCAAAGACCAACAGGCGAACAGGGGCTGGGGGAAAGTATTAACACATCTTATGCATTTGACTTTACTTGGTATGAAACCAGTGTATGCTGTTTTAGTTCTACTTTCTATACAGAGAATGTTAATATCAAAGTTTAACCTAAGTACATATTCATGAGAATAATTAACTATGTGGGTATATTTCTGTTCAAAAACATTCCTTATCTGTGATATTATTCATGTCAGAAATAAGCTCTGTTAAGTTAAATGAGACCTAACTTACTAAGTCAAATGGGACCTCTGTTAAGTTAAATGGGAAGATGTGTATTTAGTTGTATCTTTAAAACCGTGAGAAATTAAAGCTATTGGGTGTACTCAGTTGGGTGAGCTGTGTAGATCAATATAGTTTTCACTACCACTGCAGTCTCTATTATTAATGGATATAAAGAATGGGGCCAGAGATAAGAGGAACACTGAGCGGCATTCTACTTTTCTACATGCAATGAGTAATTTTCAATATCTAGAGGTTACATTTGTCATAACGTGGAATACTGCCTTTTGTGGAGAAATAACATACATAGTATGTAAGAGCCCTGCTGAATCTGCTAGAAGCTATACTGATATCAAAATACTGCATGCATCATGACATCACACAAATAATACAAATTATGTACATGTGTTATTTTGTATCAACGTATCATTTGCATCATGATACACATGTCCCCTGCTCTTCCATGGGTGCCCATAGCTCTCTAGTGCAGCATTCTGTTCCCAGTAACCAATAGCTGGATGCCTATAGAAAGCTTGTAAGGAGGACATGAACTCACTAACACTTTCCTACACATACTCCCCAGTAATTGGTATTCAGAGGTGCATTAACTCTAAAACTAGAAATAATATACAATCATAATTAAAGTAATAATTTATTAGTTATCTTCCACAATTTTGTCTAGTACCTTAATAGAACTAAGTTAAATCCCATCAATACATCTTATGGAAGCAAATTTCAATGTTTGACCATTAGAAGTTCATCCTATAGTCTATCATAAATTTATTACAACATAATTTAATTCAGGTTGAGCAACCTTTGAGAGCTCAGGAATCACAACTCAATCTCCTATCCTCCCAGAGGGTTGCAGAAAGTTGTCTGATAATACAGTAATGGCAAACTGATGATACTGGCAAAAATTTTAAGCCCAGCTTTTGTTTTTTTTATTGGGGGGGGGGGAAAGGAAGCAGAAAACTTCTGGAAGGCAATAACTCTTATCCTCACATCCTCAAATGTTGACAGTGCAATTTGAGGGTTCCAGAAGCCCATGTCAGATAGATTATCCATCTGTATTCCCCTCACCTTGCATGACTTTATATACCTCAATTATATTGTCCACTTAATGGTGTTTAAAAAACAAAAACAAAACTAAAAAGGCCCAGAGATTATAAGCCTTTCTTATATGGAAGTTGTAGCCCATTGTTCATTTTGGTGGAATACAAAGGTATTCCAAGTGATTTATTCCAACATCACATACTTGTTTAAAGGAAATTATGACACTGACATTTTTATTCTCAGTTTCTATTCTAATGATACCCAGTATCACATCTGCATTATGTTAACAGTTTTCTAGGCCATGCACCAGAAATCCAAGATCTTATTCCAGTCATCCACAGCCACCTCAGATCCCGTCATCATGTACATGAAAAATACCAAAATATATAATTATGATCTGTTCATACATGCTACACTTTACACCATTGCACTGAACTGTATTTGCCATTTTGATGCTGATTCTTCAAGTGAAATCTTTTGGGGGCTCGTTTCTGTTTTAACCACAAAACTGGGTTAAACTAAAAACTGCTTTAGCTCCCGACCCTTCAGAACAAGAGAAAAAAACATGCCGTGGAGCCTTAAAACGTCCTTGGAAGTCCTCCCCGTTTGCAACTCTTCACTGCGGAAACCTGTCGGTTTCTTCTTCGCCTTGTTTCCCTCGAGGTGGGACCAGGGATTCAGCATCCCAACGTAGCGTGGTCAATTCCACAGGAAAAGAAAACACGTCCTTGACATGTTTTCTGAATATCCCCTGATTTGGGCTGATCTTTTCAGAATCACCGCGCAGCTCCCAAAGGGGTCTCGCCTGTGCGCTCCCTGCCCTGCCCTGCCCTGCCCTGCCCGGATAAGCGGCTCCGCCGGGGACGGAGGGACTCACCGCCCGTCCCCTCCGCCTCACCGGTGAAGGACGAGATGAAGCGGGCAAGAGAGGAGCAAAAGCGGCGGGGCTCGACCTGCGCACCTCAATTCCTCTCTACCGGCCGCCGCAGGAACAGCCAG